TCAACAACATCCCAGAGAGGAACCTCTTGTCGTGGACTTCCATGCTCGCTGCATATGCCCAGGACGGGCATCTTGAAGAGGCTCGCGCGGTCTTTAACAACATGCCCGAGCACGATCTCGTCGCGCTCACCTCAATGCTCACAGTGCACATCCAGTCGGGGGATCTTGAGCAAGCCAAGGCCATCTTCGATCGAATGCCCGACCAGGACATCATCTCCCAGACAGCGATGATCCAGGCCTTCTTGCAAAACGGCCAGCTCCGAGAGGCCGAGCTCATCTTCGAGGAGATGCCCGTCCAGAACATAGTCTCGTGCACGGCACTTCTCTCCTCGTACGCTCAGGGCGGCGATCTGGATCGGGCAAAGCAGATGTTTGACAAGATGCCGCAGCGAGACGCCATCGCCTGGACGTCTCTCGTCGCCGCCTACGCTCAGAGCAATCACTTCGAGGAGGCCAGGAGCTTGTTCGACCGCATGCCAGTCCACAACTTGGTGCTCGCCACGGCCATCCTGCGAATGTACTCGCAGCTCGGGAGGATTGACGAGGCCGAGGCGGTGTTCGACAAAATGGTGGCGAAAGACATCCTGGCTTGGAACACGATGCTAGCGGCCTACTCGCAGCACGGCTACATCGAAGAACTGCGAACCACTTTCGACGCTATGCCCGAGAGGGATATCGTCTCGTGGAACATCGCTGTGGCGAGCTATGCGCAGCACGGGCACGTCGACGAAGCTCGAAAGCTCTTCTCCAGCATGCCACAGTGGGACTGCGTTTCCTGGACGATCATGATCGCGGGCTATGCCAGGAACGGGTATATGCGACGGGCGAGGAGCACTTTCGACGCCATGCCACCGGTGTCTTCCGAGCTCGTCTTCTCCAGCGCGATGTTCACGGCTTATGCTCTGGCCGAGAGCTTCTCCGACGCCATGGAGTTTTTCTACGCCATGAACGCCGAAGGATCACTCCAGCCCGACGATGTCACCTTCACGAGCGTGCTTGGCGGATGCAGCCACGCGGGATTGTTTTCTCGGGGACTCGGCTACTTCCGATCGATGGTCTTCGACTTCGACGTGGATCCTGTCCGCGAGCACTACAGCTGCGTGGTTGACATCCTGGGCCGGTTTGGACAGCTCGAAGAGGCCGAGGAGGTTCTGGATTCTATGCCGTTTGAACCGGATGCCGCGAGCTGGGGGGCTCTTCTCGGTGGCTGCGGGATTCATCGCGACGTCCAGCGTGGAGAGCGAGCGGCAGAGAATGCACTCAAGCTGGATCCGAGAGAGGACGGCGCTCGGATGCTCTTAGCCAACATCTATGGAGCTGTTGGTCGGACGCAGGACATGATCAGGCTCAAAAACACCGTTCGGATGCTGAGAAGCCGCAAGCTCCAACTAGAACGAGAGCGTTCTCGCAAGACAATGGAAAGCTTCCCTTACCAGCGTGAAGGCTCGACTGCGAGATCAACAGCCTCGTCGTGATCTTGCAACAAGTTTTTCTGCTCAAAACTTTCCGGGTCAGCCTCTCCATCGATCATCGGACACTGTTGCTGCTGCTGCTGCCGCTGCTGCTGCGCTGCTGCTTTCTCGGTGTACATGTTGGCGAGAAGCTGATACATCGACTTGTTCTCGGGGTCCAGCTCCATGAGATGCTGCGCAGCCTGCGCAGCGCGCTTGAAGTCGCCGTGCATTCTACACGAGCTCAAGTAGCTCGTCCAAGCAACAGGTCCTGGGAAGAATGGCATTTCGTGGAGAAGCTCCTCGGCATGATCCAGCTGCTTTGCTCGGCCCAGGACCTCCACCATGCAGCCGTAGTGATCGAGCTCGGGCCGCAGTCCATACTGGGTGATCATCGACACGAAGTGCTCGTGAGCTCTCTTCACTTTGCCTCCGCGGTTGCATCCTATCAGTAGACCCACGAAAGTGCTCTCGGTGGGCTTGAGTCCCTCGAGGTTGAGCTCCCGGAAGAGCTCCACGGCGGTCTTGTACGAGGCATTCTCGGCATAGCCAGCGATGAGCGTGTTCCAGGAGATGATATCAAACTCGGGCATCGTCGCGAAGAGCTCTCGGCCTCTGGAGAGATAGCCGGTGTTTGCAAACGCTGTGATCATGGTGTTCCACGACGCGAGCTCCAGCTGCGGCATCATCTCGAAAGTCCTGCTGGCCTCCGCCAAGCGCCCTCTTTGGGCAAATGCTGCGAGTAAAGCGTTCCACGACACCACGTTCCGGCAAGGCACGGATTCGAAGAAGTGTAGCGCGTCCTCTGGGCTGGAGTTAACAGCAAATGCCTGGAGCATCAAATTCCACGAGAGATCGTTCTTGAGCGGCATAGTGTCGAATATAGTAAACGCTTCGCGCAAATGCCCGTGTTGGGCATATGCTGTGACCATGGCGTTCCCTGCGATTGTGTCGTGCTGTGGCATTCTCTGGAAGATCGCCTCCGCCTCAGCGATGTGCCCAGACTGGGAGTAGGCCGCGACGACCGCAGTCCAGGAGATGACGTTCCTTGGCCACATTCGATCGAACAAGAGCTTGGCCCCTTCCAGATCCCCAGACTGGGCATGCGCCTTGAGCATGAGATTCCAGGAAACGGCATCGCGATCCGGCATCCGATCAAAGAGCTCCCGTGCGGAATCCAGCTGCCGCTCCTGCGCGTACGCCGACACGATCGCATTCCAGGAGAAGGTGTTGGGAGAATCGAGGCCATCAAACACCGCCCTCGCCTCCTCCAAGCTCCCGCAACGGGCGTACATTGTGATGAGGAGATTGCCGAGGAATGTGTTGCCGCTGTGCCGGCTGTGGAGGATCCGCGAGTGGCAATCCCGCGCTCGCGCCAGGCTCCCGATCGCTGCGCACTGCCGGATCGACGCGGCGAAGGCGGAGACATCGCGGGCGGGATCAAAAACCTCAGTGTGGAGCCATCGCCCTAACACCCGCATATTCTATTTTGAAAATTCCTTCGTTGCGAATATACTCCTCACAGTTGACGGAATGTTCTGTATGGCTGACTGCATATGCTTTTGCCGTTTGTTTAAGTTAAACCGCTTCCTCCCTGTTTTTGGGCGCACTCTCTCTCGGCTATGGCGGGACTCCCAGGGCTCAAGACGCTCAAGATCAAGACGGGGACGTGCAAGCGCGTCCACAAGGAACTCAAATCCTACGAGAAGGAGGTGGAGAGGGAGAGCGCCAAGACGGCGTCCATGCGAGAGAATGGCGCCGATCAATTCGACCTCAAGCAGCAGGTCTTTTCTTTGATCTCTTCGGGTTCTAGCTCAGGAACTCTAGCATTGTCTCAAACTCCTTGCTTGATCCAGGAGAATGTGCTGGTGGAATCGAGAATGATGGTGCCGGATTGCCGCAAGAGGCTCGAGGCTGCTGTGGCCGATCTGGAAGCCCTCATCGTGAGTGATTCACTACTGTTCATCCTCTTACTCTCGATTCTTTCTCTCTGTGTTCTAGGCCGAAGTTGAGGATGACGAGGCGATGCTTGAGACCGCCGAGCTACAAGCAGCAAAGGAAGTTCTCGCAGATGTCAAGCCTTGCATTAGTTAGACGCAAGAAAAACGGATCTAGAGAGTTGAGCTGTAGACACCACTTACAGATGAAACCAAAGCTCGCAAAAGTTTGATCTTCGATCACTTCAAAAATGTGCACGCCACCCACAAAAAAACGTACGAGCTCAGCGCAGTGAAGAGCTCGAGGCTGCCTCGCTGCAAGCTTACCGACACGGACAAGGAGGGAATAACGAGCGAGCCGAGCGTCCATCCAATGAAGAGAGAACCAAGCCTGGAAGAAACACGGGGTTGGATCGAAACCAGCAAATCAAAGATGGAGAAAAGTCTCTACCCGAGAATGAATGCTCTTGACAAGCTCTTGACGCGGTCATTGATGAAATATATACAGCAGCCAAGCGCTACAAAGACCTGAGTAAACATCGAGACTTCAGTGCTGCCAAGGAAGAAGAAAAGAGAGCTTTTGCTTTACCTGGAAAGCTGGGCCTCCCTCAGCGGCATTCATCACACTCCAAACTCCTATGGCAGCGTACAAAGCTGCGCGCTGGAGGATGATGGTCGACTTTGGAGTCTCCACGAAGCTGGCGAGCTTGCGCACCCATGGCGGAGACTCGTCCAGCTTCTTCTTCAGGTTGGTCTTAAGGTTGATCTTGGATCGCTTGCGAACCCGGAAGCTTTCAAAGATTATCCTATCGTGTGCGTCCTCGATAGCTTCTCGACTCCTCTCGTGTCTGCCGTATTGACTCAACAGGAAGCTCCGGGCCTCCTCCACCTCCATCTCGGAGGCGTCGTAGCTCACACCCAGCCGCTTGTGAGGATCCCTTACGTAAATCCTGTTGAAGACAGGAGGTGGCCCTGTTAACCAATTACTCTCATGAGAAAAAAGAAGAGAAAACAAGCATCCAATCCCGCAACAATTGAGGAGCTTGTCAAGCCCAGGCAAGAAAAACAAACGAAGAACATCAAAGAAAAAATCTTCAAAGTATCACCAAGAAAGTATTTAAGATATCTAGAGAACAAGAGCTTGGCCAAGGCAACGCAAGAAGAAACAAACGAAGACATCCAAGAAAAACCCTTGAGCTTTGATAGAACGGTATCACCAAGGAATTTAAGCATCTAAGCCAACAATGCAGCCAAACGAGAGAGAAATACCTGGAATCTCATCCGCGTCCGCTTCGCTCGAAGAGAAGGACGCATCCATAGCCACAAAGCTGGTTCTCCAGCGAAGCCGGCCATAGAATCGCAAGCTGGAGCTACTGCAACACAAAACTCCGCATTCTAAGAAGAAAATCCACGAAATTTCTCCTACCTGCTGAACAGATTCCTGCTAGCGACACGCGAAATCGCCGCTTGCGACGAAGAGCGCCGCAATGGATCACACCACAGAGCGCAAGGCGCTGTGGCAGCCATGCTCATCCCTGAAAAACCCTAAATCCTCCATCTAGAAGAGACAGAAAAGGTTAAAATAAATGCGAATTTTTACATCTAAGCAAAATTTACAAAGAACCTCCTGTATGTACATTGCAAACCACAGCACATTTTCAAGTAAGAAAGAACGAGAGAAGAGAGATAAAGAACTAGTACAAAAAAAACCACCACCCAGCAGTGTTCCAAAAAAAATCCTACCTCTTTTTTTTTTCCAGTTATTTTCGTCGTCGTCCTCCTTGAATCGTCAAGAATCTGTGTGACCAACCTGTGATCCTGGCAAGAGCACCAACACCTCGCGCTCCTCGGAGAACATATGCTTTGGAACCATGATCTCCAGCCCCGCGATCGCCTCGACGTAGTAGGCCTTGAGCTCAGCGTTGTCCGGGATCCGAGTCGCCAGATCAATCTCTCGCAGGAACTCGCCGGGAGGGCAGTGCTCGGGGCTCAAATCCGTGAGCTTGAAAGTCCTGTCCCCCCTCTTCACGAACGGAGCTCTCCCAGTGCTCAAGCAGTGGATCTTCACCACGCCGTGAGTGGCCGTGTTCCTCCACGAGACGCGAAGCCTGTGCTTGTCCGTGAATGGTAAGCTCACCATGATGAGGTAGCCTTCGTCGTCCTCGTAGATGGTCTTTGCCCCTGTCACTGGCCCGGACGCCTGAGTGATGACACCCGAGAAGCTCGAGTACCAGCTCGGCTGCGGGCTTCCACCACCGAGCTCCTCCAGCCCGGAGAAGGTGACGATCGGGACGCACGACTCCGCGTCGGTGTTGTTCCTCACCGGCGAGTACGTCTTCCTCTTGCGCTTGGCGTTGTTGGCGACGCTGCTGCCGTTCCCGTTCATGGTCCCGTTCGTGCTCAAGCCACTGGCACCGGGATCCGAGAGCTGCGTCGATAAGTTCAGCGACGTCCCGTTGAGAGGACCGCCACCACCACCACCACACTTCCGGAGCGATCCGTTTGGAGACTTGGTCTGCTGCAGCGGAAGTCCCAGCCTCTCCAGCTCGTGATCCGGGCTCGGGACCGTCCGCCAGTCGACGAAAGCCTCAGCGTTGTGAGGGATGGTGAAGTTGACGTCCCGGCCGGTAAGTTCCTTCCACCGCTTCCTGTCCTCCTCGCTCACGAACGCCACGTTCGGCGTCCTGACCACCTCGATCCCGTGGATGCACTGCGGGTTGGACAGCCCCCTGTAATGCTTCCTCTGCATCCGGTGAGAGCGGATGAATCCCTTCTCCACGCTGAAAGGAAACTGCGGCTCGCGGAACCTCGAGTGGCCGTTCATGTAGCTCCGGAGCTGCATCTTCCCGAGCGCGTTCTCGGGCTTCTCCTTGAACGCCCACATATACATGTTCTCCATGTCGTGCTGGACGAGGAAGATGTCCAGGCGGAGGTCGGGCTTGTCCGAGTCGCCACCGAGCAGCCCCTCGCCGCTGAGCTTGGCCTGACACTTATCTTTGATCGCTGGACGAAAGTAATGGTTGAAAAAGAACCAGGCACCCCAGATGGTGTCACTGCGACGAAGCCAGCGTCGTCCTTTGGATAGCGGCGAGCTGCTGGGATCCTCCCCGAGAGGAGGAGCCAAACCAACGTCGAGAGACTCGAGCTCCTTGGATGGCAGCCACTGGTTGGATGGGATCTCGTCGGAGAATGGCAAGTTGATGTCCGGAGGTTCCACCACCATTTGCATCTGGAGCTGGCGGCTGCAATCGTCGTGAACGCCAGCGTCCATGGAGAGGATCGTGGACGGAACATCGGTGGCGAAGGATGATAGTAGCGGCTCTGTCAAGCTCCCCGTCACCATGCTTCCCAGCTGCAAGTACCGCCCTTGCTCGTGAATACTGCTCTCTTCCTCGTCCCTGGATTTGTCAGCCACGTCCAAGCAACCCAGTATCAGGGGCTCATCCCCAAATTCTTCCAGCGTTCCTGGTTGGATCTTCTTTTTTTTTTTTTTCTTTCTTCTTCCTTGTTTTCCTTCCTTGTTCTTCCTTCTTGTTCTTCCCTGTGTGTTCTTGTTAGCTCTGTCTCATCCCCACCCAGTGCTCACAGTGCACGCCCCTTCCCTTGCCCCACAGAAGCCAAATTCCACTGCCGGAAGGAGCGCCGCTTTGACAGTCACCCGGAGAAAATCTATCCCTGGAACCATTGGAGAGGACTGGCGAGCAGTAGCCGATCACAATCCTGGCATCTACGCTCCGAGCGCTGATAGATCCGAGGCTCCCAGGGCACATGTAACGAAATTACCGTCTGGAAAGCCTCGGATCGCCACGATCGAAACCCTAATCGCTGGGATTGGCGTCCTGTCCTGGGGAAATCCGCGGCAATGCCGACACTGGAAGAGATTCGGAATATGAATCACATCGATCGAGAGAGAGGGAGGGGGATCGTCTCACCGTGCTGTCGTCCGGCAATTCGTCGCTACACGGTGCGTTCTTTCCTCTTCCCTAAAGCAGACGAGACGAAGCTCCGGCTATGGCGTCCCAGGTCGTCTACCGTACGAAATGGCCACGCGGGACATGGCGGCGCTACTGTACGATAGAGGGCGTTGCCGGCCGTCCACGTGGCTGAGATCCGTTGGAGCCAAGGATGAACACCAAGGGCAGCCACAGACACCCCACCCAATAATTTCCCACACACTTTAGATGAAGTGAGAAGCAAGCAGTAATTTTGGGCAATGGCGGCATCCTCCGCGACGCAGTGCTTCGCCAATCGCTCCACCAAGATCATCAATGCGCCCGGCAAGAATCGATGCTCCTCCTCCCTCTCCACCGCCAGCAGGGGTCTTGCCATCGGCAGTAATCGGGGTTTCCAGCAGCAGCATTGCAGGAATCTAGGGATTAGAGCGGCCGTGAGCGTCGAATCGACCACAGACAAGAAGAAGAGCGGCAGTAGGAATCAGTATCAGCTCAACACGCTCACGAATTGGCTGCTCAAGCAAGAACAGGCAGGGATTATCGATGGCGAGCTCACGATCGTGCTGTCGAGCATCGCCGTGGCCTGCAAGCAAATCGCGGCCCTAGTCCAGCGCGCCGGGATCTCCAATCTCACCGGCGTCCAGGGCGCCGTCAATGTCCAGGGCGAGGATCAAAAGAAGCTCGATGTGGTGTCCAACGAGGTGAGTCAGTGGAAAATCTCCTCTCTTTCTCGATCGATCCTCCCACATTTCGTCCGAAATATCGTTTCTTGGTGCTAGGTTTTCTCGAATTGCCTGCGCTCCAGCGGTAGGACGGGTATCATCGCGTCTGAGGAAGAGGATACGCCTGTGGCCGTGGAGGAGAGCTACTCTGGCAACTACATTGTGGTGTTTGATCCCCTGGATGGATCATCCAACATCGACGCCGCTGTCTCCACGGGCTCAATCTTTGGAATCTATCACCCAAGCGAAGAATGCCTGGCGGATTTCGACTCGGACTCCGACTCAGTAAGTTCTTGGGAATCCTTCGCTCCAATTCATCTATGGAAACTTTTGATGATGATCGCAGCTCACTCCAAGCGAGCAGAATTGCGTGATGAATGTGTGCCAACCGGGGAAGAACTTGCTATCATCTGGCTACTGCATGTACTCGAGCTCCGTGATCTTCGTTCTCACGGTTGGAACCGGCGTGTATGGCTTCACGCTGGACCCGATGGTGGGCGAATTCGTGCTCACCCACGACAAGATCAAGATCCCGGACAAGGGAAAGATCTACGCTTTCAACGAGGGCAACTACGCGCTGTGGGATCCCAATCTCCAGAGCTACATCAACAGCTTGAAGGATCCAGGGCCGGCCGGGAAGCCTTACTCGGCTCGCTACATTGGGAGCTTGGTGGGCGATTTCCACAGGACGATGCTCTACGGCGGGATCTATGGCTACCCCCGCGACAAGAAGAGCAAGAATGGGAAATTGAGGCTCCTCTACGAGTGCGCTCCCATGAGCTTCTTGGTGGAGCAAGCCGGCGGCAAAGGGTCGGATGGATCCGGAAGAATTCTGGACATCAAACCAGAACAGGTTCGATCGATCCAATTCTTTCGATTGATTGATCGCGCAAAATGTTCTAATCTTCTCCTTTTTTTCTTGTAGGTTCACCAAAGAGTTCCTTTGTACATAGGAAGCAGGGAAGAGGTGGAGAAGCTCGAAAAGTATCTCTCGTCAATGTAAACACACCTATTCTCAAAATTTTGAATTTCAAATTTTCAAATTCAAAATTTTAAAAGTTTCGCGCGCTAAGAGGGCGATCGCGTGTTCGATTCCTTATCCCTTCCGAGCGTGTGCCGGGCACTGTGCCACGTAGGGTCTCCGTCAAGGGCATATGGAGAGCGAGCTCTTGGCGGGGAGGGCAATGGCGATGGCCGCCACCGCAGGAGCGGCAGTGTCTCTCGCTGCGGCCGCGCCAAGATCTCGATCCTTGACGCCGCGAGCATCGAATCACCAGGTACATTGGCAATCGAGAGTCGAGAGCGCGTCCTAGACTAAGGATTGATCCTTTGTTATTTTAGCTGCGCAACTCGTTCCTGGGATCGCCACTTTGTAATTGCGAGGTGCGTCTAAAAGTTTCGCATCCCGGGGCTATCAATTCGACGAGGAAAACTTACAACCCTCTCCAGGTAGCTCACTCAGATTTTCCAAGTTTTAGTATCACATTATTGTATTCTCAGGTGGAGGCTAAAACAGCTGCTGGAAAAACGATAGAGGTAGAGGTCGATAAGCCTCTCGGACTTTCGCTTGGGCAAAAGCCTGGTGGTGGCGTGATCATAACAGTAAGAGCTCCATACGTTCTTCTTTTCTTCCTGGTTCTTTCGCAAAACATTGTACTGTAATCGTGCGAAACAGGCAGTGGAAGGAAATGCAGCCAGAGCTGGATTGAAAGTCGGGGATCAGGTGCTCTACACGAGTAGCTTCTTTGGCGATGAATTGTGGCCGGCTGATAAACTTGGCTTCACAAAGACAGCCATCCAAGCGAAGCCAGAGTCTGTTTATTTTGTTGTTAGCAGGTACTTCATGATCGATTCCTTGTTCTCAAAATCTGAAGTTTGCTCTTTTCTTCTTCTTCCAGAGGAGCGGATGTAGATGTAAAGCGACTACCTAAGCGGCCAGCGCCACCTCGATTCGGTCGAAAACTCACCGAAGCGCAAAAGGTAAGAGCTTTTCTCTAAGGACGAAGCTGTTCTATTCTATATGTTTTCCAGGCAAGAGCTACTCACATTTGTCTCGACTGTGGATACGTCTACACGCTCTCCAAACCTTTTGAAGAACAGGTATGAAAAGTTCAGTGTTCTGTAGATGGTGCTCATCTTTTTTCTTCAGCCGGATGGTTTCTTATGCCCTCAATGCCGAGCACCAAAGAAGAGGTTCTCCAAATATGATCCGGAAACCGGACGAGCAGTCGGAGGCGGTGCTCTGCCAATCTCCGTGATACTGGGAGTCTTGGCTGGTGCTCTCGCAGTTGGAGGATTGGTGGTATATGGTCTCCAATAGGCTTGTTAAGAAGCTCTTGCAAAATCAAACTCCCAAGGTTGAGAGTTTATAATCTGTTCCATTACCTAGGTACATGGCTTCTATTTCTACACCACTTTCTTATCCTTTTCCTTGTGGCCAGGGAACGAAGACAAAGTACAATGGCCGCAGAATTTTTCTCACGAGAGCTAACTTGGAAGACGCAGAGGGACGAGTTTTGCAACAAGATCTCGAAGCGGCTCAAGCAGCTCTTGCTCCCAGGTTCAGCAGAAGATTTACAATTGGAATTCTTTCGGCAGCAGGACTGGGAATTGGAGCAAACTTTTTGGGAACTACGAGCTTCGTGCTTGGATTAAACCCGGAAGTCGCAAGAAGCTTGAGGCTGGACGTCCTGTATCCTGTCCGGGGCTTCTTCAGATGCTTTGACACAGACAAAGGTTTCGGTAAGCACTAGCTAAGTTTCATCTTTAAGAAGTGAACGATTTTCTCCAAAGCTAAACAACCGGCTTTCTCGATTGCAGAGTTTATCTATCCTCAAGACTGGTTTGGCGATCAAAAGATCTTGTACAGGTCCATTGAGAAGGCCGAGAAAGAAAGGCCTCTGGACTTGCCGGCGCTCAAAGAGCAAAGATCGCCAGCGAAAGTTCTAGTGGAGCCTGTCACTGCTTTCGGACCTCCTGGAACAGATGGCGAAGTTAACGTGAGCGTGATCGTAGCTCCAATCCTCCCTTCTTTCAGGTAAGGAAAGTTTCCATCTCTTGGTTTGATAGAAAAAAAACGTCTTTGCAGTTTGGAGCAGCTAGGAGATGCCAGAGAAGCTGCTAAACTCATCCTGGACAAGTTCATAGCTCCACCAGGATCGAAGAAAACGGCAACTCTGGTGGATGCCTCGACTAGAAGAGATGAAAAGGCAGTCTACTACACACTGGACTACTGTGTGGAAGCTCCCACATTCTTTAGACACAATGTGGCTGTCTACACTTCTCTCAAAGGCAAGCTCTTCTCTTTGAATGTGCAGACTCCCCAGGCTCAATGGTCACACCAGAGAGAAGAATTCATCCAAATTGCAAACTCTTTCAAAGTAATCTAAAGGGCTAATTAGCATAATTAACATCTATCAGATGGCAGCCTGATTGAGCACCAAATCAAACGACAATGCTCTACGTACACCCTTTGAAGACGGGCATGGCCTTCAAAAACTCCAGCCTCCGGCAGCTGGGCTCGAAAGAGATGAAGTTCTCGCCTTTTCAACACCAATGTAACAAGTGTTTTGCGACTGAAGTACTCTCAGACATTTTTGGTTCTTTCTCCGCTTGCTATCTTCTTCTCTCCAGCTGCAAGGCTCGATATCAATCCGTTCCGGAAGGATGGTAAGTTACCCGTGTTTTCTTCAGAATTTTGATTTGCAAGGAGTTGGAGATGTTTTGGCTCACAGCAAGTTTTCCTCAAGACTTCTTTGTACTTTTTAAACAGACGAAGATTTTCCTGAAGCTCTTCAGGAGACTTTCAAAAGTGTAGAAGCAAAGGTAAAAATTGTTTGCAAATTTGAACATTTGTTTTGACATTTTTTTTTATATTCTACAAAGGTTGGGTTCAAGCCACAACCTTCTAATAAAGCAAGGTTAGGTTGAAATCTTAAATGAGGTTATCTCTTTGTCATGAGGAAATTGGTTTAAGCACACTACTAAATGGGGGAATGCCAAAAAGTTTGGATTTATAGACACTTGGAGTCAAAATTCAGAAAGCGTGGAATTCAGAAGGTGAGAGGGGAAGCCATCTAACCTGGATTAGAGGCGTTGAACCGCAAAGATTTTACTCCATCGCCCAACATCATAGATTCATAGTATATCCTTTTTGTTAGCTTAAATGTAGGTAGAATGTGGTCAATAGGGTTTGTGTAGCTCGGGCGATCTCGATCTGAGAATGGTGCTGGGGAAGAAGGAGGGCAGCCTCTTCCGCTCCTCCTCTCCGTCTTCCAATGACCGCTCCAAGCTCGGGCTGGCGATCCTGGCAGGAATCATGGTGGGAGCGCTGTGGGCGTACTTGCATCCTCACGCATTCATGAGCGCCTCCGAGGTAAGCGGCCGGAAAATTCGAGTTCCAGAGAGAAACGAGACACTCCAATCGCTCCACAGGGCGGCGATCCGCTGGTGAGCGAGCTGGAGAAGAAGATCCGAATGCTGGAGCTCCAAGTGACCACGCTGCGGGGCGAGAACAGCGAGATTAAGAGCGCGCTCGATCTGTCCAACCAGGAGAAGAAGTCCGCGCAGCAGCAGCTCATGGCCTCGCGGAGCCGAGTCAAAGCAGGCAAATTCGGCACAGTGGCCGGCACCACGACCAATCCAGAGATCATCCCGGATAAGTCCGTCAACCCGGAGCTAGCCCAGCTGCTCGAGAAGATCGCCATCAACCGCGAGGTCATCGTTGGCGTCTCCAACAAGAACGTAGCTCCAATGCTCCAGGTATGGTTTGAGAGTATCAAGCAGTCCGGGATCACGAACTACCTCGTCGTCGCGCTGGACGACGAGACTGCCAAGTTTTGCAAGGATCACGACGTCCCGGCGTACAGGAAGGACGCCACCATACCCAAGAGCTTGGCCGGGACTGGGGACAACCACGCCATCTCCGGAACAAAGTTTCACATCCTGCGAGAGTTCCTCGTGCTGGGATACAGCGTCTTGCTCTCGGACGTGGACATCGTCTACCTCCAGAACCCGTTCAAGTTCTTGCAGCGCGACTGCGACATCGAGGCCATGACCGACGGCCACACCAACGCCACCGCCTATGGATACAACGACGTGTTTGACGATCCAAAGATGGGCTGGTCGCGCTATGCGCACACGATGAGGATCTGGGTGTTTAACTCGGGGCTGTTCTACTTGCGGCCCACGGTGCCATCGATCGAGCTCCTGGACCGGGTGGCGACGAGGCTGGCGAGAGAGAAGGCGTGGGATCAGGCCGTGATCAACGAGGAGCTCTTCTTCCCGTCGCGGCCGGGATACAATGGCTTGCACGCTTCCAAGCGCGTCATGGACAGGTTCCTCTTCATGAACAGCAAGCTACTCTTCTCGGACATTCGTGGGGATCCATCGCAGTATGCCAACTTCCGGCCGGTTACCATTCACGTCAACTATCATCCGGATAAATACAACCGGATGCTGGCCATTGTTGATTACTATGTCAAGGGGAAGAAGGATGCCCTGGCCAAGTTCCCAGTTGGCTCGGAGTGATGCTGGCCTGGTTGGATCCGACTGATCTTGTGATTGATAGATAATTTTTTTTTTAAACTATAAAATGAAGACACTGTTTTTGATTCATCGGTACAGATCATGGTAAGAACATCACATCGGCAGGAGAATGGGAGGACAAATAGTCTTGACGTTCAGGCCCGGAACAATTTATTTGCTTTATCTTTTACAATCATAAGATAGTGAGTATATGGAGATTTTTTAAACTATTATTGTAGAATCCTATATTAATTGAGACCATTTGGATCTTTGGTTCATCAAGGATTGTGACTTTTGCTTAATTGAAGAATGCTAATTATGCTGACTATAGTTCTCAACTCCTGGTGTCCAGAATATTGTTAATTATATTTTGTGGCATACATGCTATAAGGGACTTTGATTGCATTATAAGAGCTAGACTCTCATTGAAAGTTCTATTTGGGTTATGGAATACATAACTCAAATATTCTACTCAACAACTTGGATCTCTGGTAGTGTGTTATCCTGGATAAGTTCCGGGAAAAGAACCTTGAGAATCTAATCAACTTCAATGATGGAAGAAACATCTATTTGAAACAAATTGGATGGAAGTAGAGAATGACCATGGGCATTGAAAAGAGTTGCTGCATGGATGCTGTTAGTGATTGTTGATTTTCCTTTGGCCTAAGTTATCATGCAAGTAACAACAAGATGCCATGGATGTCCCAGGATGATAGAGTTCTTCAGCTTCCCAGATCCGAGCTACTAGTAGTCCACCATAAGAAAATCTAGTGTGGAAACCACTCCTTACACCAAGATCTTGACATTCCGGTAGATGCCCATAGGAACTATTGAGTGATTACCAAACATGTTGAAGATCATAATTGTGCTACTCACCATTTCCAAGCCACTGGAGTATGCCAAGTTGAGGGAGATGATATTGTTCTGGGATCCAAAATCAAGTAATGCTTATTGTATCAAGGGTTTATTGCCAATTTGGACCTCTACAAAGAATGCCCCAGGATCATGAGTGGTCTGAGTGTTAATGATATGCACGTCATGCTAAGGTTCCACAGGGATGTCAAAGAACTTGGCAAAAACCTCTAGGCATGCATCACAAAAGCTCACGAAATGTGATCTGGACTAGAGTGTCAGCAATCTAAGCAAGAACCTCTTGTGGGACCCAAGAAAGAGTGGAGGGCAACTAGGAGACCCTACCCTAAAAGTCAGATGAATGTTCAATTGTTAGATTCAAAGTTGTGGCTAGTGGTGCTGCAAATACTAAAGCATAGGGTAATTTGCACACTATGAGAGATGGTGGAGTTCTGGAAATAAGTGTTGGATCCTACTCATTATCAATATCTGCTTCTTGTGCCCTCTAGTCACAACAGCCACTTTATAACCATCCTCTGTAATGTAAATAAAGTGTCCATTGTGCAGTAGAGGAAAATGCAATGCACTAAGAACTCTAACTTGTGTGAGAATAGAATATCTAAATGGGATAGCTTCAAATAAAAAGTATCCTCACATAGATTTCCCCAACCAAAATCATTGTTACTCTCACAAATGCCAATTTCTTATAAAGTTTAGAAAAATTTAGCAAAGAAAAAGGGAAAAGACACAAAAGATGTTGTGCCACTTGGTAGGATGTGGATATATGTTATCACTAAAAAAGTCAAGAAAAGAAACAAAATCAAACTCTAATACTTAAAATGCCTCAAGGGAAAAAAATTTCATATAAAATCTCTTAGCTTTGTGCACAAAATTGGGTGTGGATAGATTCGTTGGAAAGCTTGGACTCAAACCAAGAGAATGAGACCAAAATCATGAGTTAAGATGCCCAAAATCTCAAAAACAATTGACTCAAACATCAAATTCTAAACAAAAAGAAGGAGAATACAAGAAAATGCACTCCCTAGCACAAGAAACACTCACCTTTAGCATTGGCAAAAGATAATAACATGGCTATGATAATCTCCATAAGAATGGTGCTTAAAATTCCCCCAAGATCAAGCTAAAAACTTGCAAGTTTGAGCTGTGAAATGCCGCAAGAGAAAAATTATTCCGTCTCACGGCCTAGAGAGAATTGACTGCTAAGAAAGGACTCTCTGGAAATCTTGTTTTCAGATCTACATGCCTAGAAGAAGAAATTCCTAAATTGGTCCTAGAATTGCGATCTTAGAGCATTAGAAATTTACTATGAAAACGGAAGAGCATGATAGACAAAACTTCATGCATGCAGTTGAATCATCCACAAAATAAAGTGCTTTTTAGCTTGTTGGAAAGAGGATGCCAAAGCACACTGACTCAAAGAAAGAAAAACTAGAATTGATACCCCAATCACAAAAAATTGCTAGAAAACTGAGTAGAAAGAGGGTAATATATAAAACTAATGCAAGAATGAGAAAATCTTTGAGCCTGTGTTTTGGATTTGTGCAACTAGAGACCCTTAGCAATCCTAGGATCTCTAAAAATACAAATTTAGTCACTAGAACTTGAAATCTCTATCAATTTCCCAAGAAAATTCTCCATTCTTTTAAGAAAATTAAGCTAGCTCGTCATGCAAGGTTCACCAACTGTTGGGGCATCTCTAAGCCCTAACTGTGGATCCATTCCTTACACACATGCTTGTAAACTTGTAGCTCCAAACTCAAGCATAAAAGGAAATGGGAAGGAACTCTATTCTCAAGCTTCTTTTGGGCTTATATACAAGGATGAAAGAATATTCCAAGGATATGGAATATTCTTTGTGCTCTCTTAAGTCAGAATCTAAGCATGATGTAGGAAGAAGGTGGTGATAAGCTAATGCTATAAAAAAGGATTGGTTTTATGATTTGGAGGATTATTTTCAAATGTTGCAATTACGAAATTCGAAAGAGGTCCCATATGCAAAACCATATTTAATAAATAATGTTAAATCTTGGTGAAGAATGACAGAGGCAAACAAAGGACCAATGGCCACTTGAAAAGTGATAAAGGTGACGATTTGAGCAACTTATATTCCCCCAAATGCTACTATGCATCTAAACGATAAACTGAGTAAATTGATGTAAATAAAAATAATTCAAGAGTATGTGAATGCGTTTATAGTTAAGAAGATTCTTGTCGCGAATACGGGTGATATAGATGCATTCCACGCTTTCATATTAAACTTGTAGACTTGGCCTTGGGGTGACTTGATACACTAGAAATACAAAGAAGCATTAGATGTGGTGATCAAGATGCATTTTAATGATAATTTGCAAAAAAAGAATTCAATTGGGTCAAAATCCACATTTAATAAGGGATCCAAACCAAGGAAATTTAAGAAGAGTTTCTTTAAGAATGAATCCTCATAGTTTTAGAATGGTAAATCCAATGGCTAACAAATAAGCATGTGAGGGAGTTAGGTTAAAAGAGGTAAACCCATCAATAAGAAAGTCAAGTCTGCAAATAGTGTAGGGAATAGCATATATTTTAATTGCAGTGAGACTAGAAACTTCTTGAGAGAATATTCATAGCTGAAGAGAGCCAGAATGAATATGGCTATTAAGTCAAATGAAATTCAAATGAAAGTATATGATCATATCTCTGGTTCAAAGTTACTTATTACACAAACAACTTTGGTAAAGAGTCACTTACATTTAAGGAAAACTCAAAAGTAACTCTATTAAGATGTTTATAGACATAAATGTTATGGAAAATTTTGTGGCTGTAGACATAGTTTGGCAAGCTAGATTAACATTGCAGTGGTTTGGAGAACTAAGGATCATAAAGTTCATTCAAGGTAGCCAAAACACAAATCAAGCACTTTAACAAGCAAGAGTGAAAGTAGAGATATGGAAAGTGGACATGGATTTCACTGTTTTGGATATAACATAATTTAATGTAATCTTTGGGAACCTATAAATGGATGGATAACACCCTGTTACTTGTGCAGTGAATATAGGTTTAACTAAAAACTAGTATAATAGATTTAAACTTTGGCAAGGGAACTTAATTGAAGCTAAGGCAAAAGTGGTCAAATAGATAAAGTAAGTTAACAAATTAGAAAAGGAAAATTTATAACTTATACATATCTAGAACTAAGAGCTTACCTTTGGATGCAATGCTGATATACTCATTTAAAATATAAAACTTATACTAGGTTTCTGAGCCAAAGTATGATCTAACTATAAGGAGCAATAATTACTTATTTCAAAGAGGTTAAAAATTTAACATGAATTCTTACTTCTATCAATGATATGGAATTTTATAAGAAAATGAAGTGGTGCATGGTTCTCTATGCAAGGCTCAAGGAGCTCATAACCCTTAAACCAAAACTTTGATGTGAGAATATTTAAGTTTATGTATTCCATAACTCAAATGTAAAAGTTTCACTAAGAGTCTAACTCTTATTATGCAATCAAGTCCCTTATAGCATGTATGCCAAAAACATATAATTAACAATATTTATGTTTACCTATAGTTAATGGTTGTATATGACCACGAGCACACTAGACACCACAAGCTTTCATAATTGAGAACTATAGTTAGCATAATTAGCATTTTCAATAAAGCAAAAGCCACAATCATTATATTGTCTTCATAGTCTTTGATTTAAAGACATATGACTCATCAAAATATGAACCAAGATTCAAATAATAAGTGTTAATCTCAATTAATATAGGATTCTACAATAATAGTTTTAATAATTTATTATGCCTTGAATCTAGTAATGCTTGGTCTGCTTAATAGTAATATTATTCCTATTGATCAATCGCTTAGTTTTCTTAATAGTAGTATTATTCCTGTTGATCAATTGCTTAGTTTTCTTAATAGTAGTATTATTCCTATTGATCAATTGAATTGATCAAATGGAACTTTATAATTATAAACATGTTTATAATTTATAAACACACGATTTATCTTATTGAATATCAACTATTAGATGGTAGAATAAACTAAAATATACTAGAAAGTGTTTAAGAAACTTTATAAATTATAAATATAATATTAATCTAAATAAATAATAACCGTAGATGGTAAGACATCCTAAAATATTTAAGTATATTCTAGATATATCCACTCTTACAGCAAATCAAAAATCTAAAAGATAAAGCAATAAATTGGTCTTGTCCTCCCATTCTCCTACTAATGTATGTTTGATGATGTTCTTGCCATGATCTGTACCAATGAACGTGTCTTCATTTTATAGTTTGAAAAAAAAAAGTATCTATCAATCACAAGATCAGTCGGATTCAACCAGACCAGCATCATTCCGAGCCAACAGGGAACTTGGCCAGGGCATCCTTCTATAGTAATCAACAATGGCCAGCATCCAGTTGTACTTATCCGGATCGGAAGTTGGCATAGTGCGTTGGATCTCCATGAACCGAAGCTTGCTGTTCATGAAGAGGAACCTGTCCATGGCGCGCTTGGAAGCGTGTGAAAGCCATTGTATCCCGGCCGCGACGGGAAGAAGGGCTCCTCGTTGATCACGGCCTGATCCCACGCCTTCTCTCTCGCCAGCCTCGTCGCCACCCGGTCCAGGAGCTCGATCGATGGCATCGTGGGCCGCAAGTAGAACAGCCCCGAGTTAAACACCCAGATCCTCATTGTGTGCGCGTAGCGCGAGCCCATCTTTGGATCGTCGAACACGTCGTTGTATCCATAGGCGGTGGCGTTGGTGTGGCCGTCGGTCATGGCCTCGATGTCGCAGTCGCGCTGCAAGAACTTGAACGGGTTCTGGAGGTAGAGCAAGACGCTGTATCCCAGCACGAGGAACTCTCGCAGGATGTGAAACTTTGTTCCTCCGAGGTGAAATCCTGCAAAACTTTTAGACCCGCCACTAAAACTGAACTTCAAACAGGACAAATCCTTTGTTGCCACCCTCTGAAATCGGGGTGGAGTACACCAAAGAGAAGTATGGAAGTGTTCCTCGTTATTACATCAAAGGGATGCTACCCGTGGCAATGCAAGGTTATCTCTTGGAAAACAATCCCCCCAACGGTGTTCTAGAGCTTGCATCTGATCGCAGCCCCTTCTTTTCCACTCCAGATGAGCTTGTAAAGGCACTTGTAAGCATCATAACATCGTTAAAATGAAAACATTCTAGAGACAATGCTAAATGCAAGGAATTGCCATACAATGAAAACCCTGGGAAGAATATGGACAGAGTCCAGTGCCTAGAACTCATCCAATCTTGCAAGAGCTTGGCTTTGGCTGAGGATCTGCATGCCAGTAACAGTGCCAAAACTGATGATGTTTTCCTGTGCAACAAGCTCATCGCAATGTACACGAGGTGTGGAAGCTCATTGCACGCCAAACGAGTTTTTGATACCATGGTTTCCAGGGATGTCTACTCTTGGGATTTCATGATGAATGCTTACTCGAAGTATGGCAGCCTTGAGAATGCAAAGGGATTCTTTGATTCGATGCCCCAGAGAACTACTGTTTCTTGGGTTGCAATGTTAAGCTCATATGCCCGTGCTGGGCATCTAGAGGAAGCCGAAAATACCTTTGCAAGGATGCCAGATGCAAATACAGTGGCTTGCAACTGCATGATTGACGCGTACGTTCATCATGGATTTCTTGAAAAGGCTAAAATTTTGTTCGATAGAATGCCAAGGCAAACATTAGTTGCTTGGAACACTATGCTTGTTGCATATGCCCACAGAGGGCACCTTGTTCTTGCCAAGAGAATGTTTTACACGATGCCACTACGAGATCTAATCTCTTGGACGGCCATGTTCAACGCATATGTGCAGAACGGGATTGTTGAAATTGCGAAAAATTTTGTTGATCTCATGCCGGAATGGGATCTCGTATCGTGGACAGCAGTGCTCACTGCGTATGTGAAGAGAGGAAACATTTCTGAAGCCAAGCAAACTTTTGATCAGATGCCGTTTAGAAACTTGGTGTCATGGACGTGCTTGCTGGACGCATTTTTACAGGTCAAAGACTTACAAGCTGTTAAAGAAACGTTCAGAGCAATGCCGGAGCACGATCTTGTAGCTTGGAATGCAATGCTCTCTGCATGTGCCCATCTTGGAGATCTGCAAAACGCGGAGATAATCTTTGAAGCTATGCCCGAACGAACAATGGCTTCTTGGAATGCAATGCTTTCAGCGTATGTGCATGACGATAAGTTAGAAGAAGCAAGAGTGATTTTTGATAGTGAGCCGAAACACGATCTGGTTTCATGGACAAGTATACTGTGTGCTTATGCCCAAAACGGGCATCTGGATGAAGCAAAGAATATCTTTGAAATGATGCCACAAAAGACAATAGAGGCGGCAAATGCAATGCTCTCAGCTCTTGCACAAAATAAGTACCTGTCGGAATTTAGAGAACTTTTTGTAAAGATGCCACAGCATAGTACAATGTCGTGGAATGCTCTTTTGTCAGCAAATGCACTAAACGGGCACTTGGAGGAAACAAGAATGGTTTTCGACATGATGCCTGGAAAGGACCGGATTTCCTGGAATACAATACTCTCAATAGAGGCCCAGAAAGGGATGATAAGTAGAGCCAAGGAAATCTTCCAGTATGAAATGCCAGAGTGGGATGTTGTGTCTAGCACTGTAATGATCTCTACTTTCTCCAAAAGCGGCAAGTTTGGAGAGGCCAAGCAGCTTTTCGACACAATGCCATTTCAAGATTCAGTCTCTTCAACAGCCATGGTTCTCAACTTTGGCCAAAATGGACAAGTAGAAGATGCTAAGAGCTTGTTTGAAAGAATCTCTCCGAAAGACAGAGATGTTGTGTGCTGGAATGTGATGTTTGCAACTTATGCCCAAAATGGACATCTTCTGGATGCAAGGGAAGTGTTCAACGACATGCCACGGAAGGACACAGCCTCCTGGACTGCAATGTTGTCTCTCTATGCTCAAACCGGCCACCCCTTGCATTGTAGAAAGCTCTTGCTTGAGATGCCCGAGAGGTGCTTGGTCGCTTGGAGCTCGTTGCTAGCCAGCTGTGTTTGTAGTGGTAACTTTAGTGAAGCATTGGATGCATTTTACAATTTGAGAGACGATTGCTTTCTTCCGGATGAGATTTGCTTCATGTCTGCCCTAGCGGCATGCAGCCAAGTAGGCAAGGTTTATCTTGGTAGATGCTTGTTTGTGTCTATGAGGGTTGACTATGGGCTGCAAGCATTGAAGCAGCACTACAGTTGCATGATTGATCTCTTGAGCCGTGCAGGGCATTTGCGTGAGGCTGGCGAGTTGACATCATGCATGCCATTTGTTCCAGAAGTTTTGGAGTGGTGTTGTTTGCTTAATGGGTGTAAAATCTACGGCAACCTTGAGTTGGGAGCCTTTGCTGCTAAGCATGTCACAGAGCTGGACCCAAAGCTCAACATGGCATATATTCTCACGGCCAATGCTTTTTCAGTCCTAGTTTGATATTATGGCATGATCTGGATCTAAATGGGTGTTCACGTGGAGATTGACCAGACGGTGGTAAAGCAATATCCACGTCTGAGAGCAAGAGACTGTCTTCCAACTCCCTTAACTTTGAACATTGGTGACATGGCGTGACTGTCGCTGGTCCTGGCTCCATATGCCAGGACATCGTGATCTTTCGCTACGACGAACTACCCAGAGTGCTTGAAGTTACGTTTTTGTTTGCTTCCAGATCACAATCGTACAAGAAGCGTGGGGCTGACGGACTTATCCAGGACTGGCGCTGGCCACTGCCGAATTTGCCTCCATGAGCTGCTTGCACGGATTTTTTATAGTTGGACAGATCGAGTGCGCTCTTGTCGAGCCCCCTTATTTCAGCTCACAATCGGTTTGCAAAGCTTTTTTCAAAGCAGTGTCGCTACTCTGGTTCAACATGATCTGAGATATTTACTCACTAACAGTGTAAGAAAGTAATGCTCGTTTCCTTTCTCCGTTTTCTTCTGAATTTTAGACAGATCTCACGCTTAAGTTTTCTATGTGCTGGTGGTGCTGAATGTATACCACAGGTGCTTTTATTTGGTGAGGTGCTCAAGAGCATGGAATGAATAAGACAGTCCCCTTGCACATGGGACTTAGTTAGTTGAAAGGACCACCCCACACATCGTCTGTGTCCCATAGTCCAATATAACCTTCTTCTACAGATAATCCGGTTGTTATTATGCAATCAGATTGATCTTTGCAGAGGCGCTTTCCTATATCGATTAAAATCAAGTCACCAATCTTTATGGCTGCATGAGGATTTATAGTCAACGGGCATGGAGGATCTGTATCAATGGGACTTACATAGGGCATTTCTTTCGTAACTAAGTCATTCAGAATAAATTTGCAATTGTCTTGTAAATGGGCTTTATAACGTCCGCTCTTAGATTGAAAGGTATATGGTTCGAGAACAAAGGAACCCAAAGATTCAAAGCCACTAATCATACTCATCTCAAAAGGCCAGCAGTCTTCTAACTCTGAATACCAATCATGAATTACAAAAGTGCTCTTATTAAGACTTCGAGGTTGGATTGAAAAAGTATAAAGAGGAAGGGCTGCTGAAATATTCCAGTGGTTACTATTAGCATTCAATTCATCATGATCTTTCTTGATAGGCCATGAAATATAATCAATTCCCAAGAGTTTTGAAATAACTAACAATGTTCCATAGCCATTTACTCGAGACTCCAGAAAGATAGTTTTGAAGATTTTCATATACTCATCTTTCATGAAATTGGAAGGCAAGGCCATAGATGGGTCTGGAGATACTGAACAAGTGACAGAGATCATTGAGGGGGCAATACTAAAGAACCAAAGCCTTATAGAAACTTTATATTTATTAGAAACTGTAGGATTGTATGTAAAGCTACGCCCTGTAGAATAGAATGAATTCCTTTTAAGGGACCTGATGACATAAGAAATAGCACTTGTAATCTTTCTTGTTTCTGGTATGGAGAATCGCCCTGGATGTCTAGCATACCTTATTGTCATGCTAGAAACATGTATGAACATAGTAATAGTTAGGACATATACTAAACTCTTCATAATCAAGATTAAATAAATTTTACTTCTAGCGCTCTCTTTATATACAGCCATAATTCTTATTATACCCTTCCACATGGTAGAAATATAATGTTTTTATAATGGGCTGTAAATTTGAAGCATGTGTACTCATTCATGTAGGGAATAATTTAAGTTTAAAATAATTTATGCCAAATGGTCCATCATGGGTCCATCATGCAAGTGTAATGCCAGCACACCAGTTCTACAGCCTCATATTAGTATAGCCATACCCTTGGCATTATCCATTTGGAATCATGACCAAAGGTGAGCCACTCTTCTTGGATTCGAATTGAAGTTACATTTCTGTAGTCTAACAAACTAGCCTAATGTAGCCTCTAACACGAGCTATGGCCCTTGAAACATCCTATACATCTAAATAATAGTGTTATGACTGTATTGATCATGGTGAAGCCATTAGCACTTGGCTTTGTTAATTGGGGTTTAATTATTTAGCCTCTAAAAAACTATAGAGCCTAATTTTGATGTGCTCGAAACTAGAAAAGAGGAAATTGGGGGGGGGGGGGGTGTTTAATTATTTAGCCCTTAAAAAACCATGTTCGAAACCGGAAAAGAGCAAATCAAAGGGTTTAGGGGGGGGGGACAAAGTTGAACTAGAATTGGAGACTGTGTCCATTATGGTTTATGTGGTTGAAGTCCTTGAGAAGGAGTTCAAGGGACTTGGAGAAGTACATGTTCTGTCATTCTTGGACAAGTGCTGCAAAGGTATAGTGGTGGTTTTCATGTCCATTTGTCTTTGTTAGCCTCGCTTTCGTGTCTAAAGAAGGGCCAGAGAGTTAATTCCTTAGTGATCTTTCCTCATCATTTTATGTTTTGACGTCTTAATTGAGGATATGCCATGCTTTCACGAGTGTTTATCATTCACAGTTAAACGGTTTGGTGGAATGGCTCATTTGGACATTCAAAGGAATGATTTTGAAGTATATGAACTTTCAGCATTTAGATTGGGATGGTTATTTGTTGTCTTTTTCTCCAACCTTTATCAACATGTTAAGTTAGGACTTCAATACAATAATCAAGTGCGACAAAACTTTTGAGATTGTTGCCCAAGCCGAGGGATTCTTGTTATTGAATATCCTGGCACAATAGGCCTTCCAAATCTTTGCAAGAGTATATCCCTCGAGGACATTAACAAGCTCCTGGTGAAAATATGTAATTTGTGTACATATTTGATTAAATTGAACGAACTGGGGGTTTTTGTTATGTCTCAATTTCTAGGCATTTGAGCGTTTGGTCTTCCCTTATAGGAAGCAGCCCCATAGCACTGATTCATAGGTTATGGGTGTGCCACTTTAAAAGGTCTATTTGAGAATTGCCATGGAGCCCTCCCAAACTTCTTGTATAGTTAAGCATTCCCATAGGATGTGGCACTATATCTCTTTTGCTACACAGAAACTACACATTGTGTTCAAGAGGCGTATTGCCGCAAATGAGGGGAAGCACTCTTACTAGGCAAGCCACATAGAGTATTGAGTTTTTGTGGACTAGTGGCTTTTCCAAATTTTGTTCACGTGCTATGGATGGTTTTGGGATGGGATTTATTATGCTCTTATTTTCTTGATAAATGTGATTTGTATTAAGGGGTGAGTGACTCTTCGGCCAAATTTGGTCTCATACTGAAAGAATTATTTACATATGTCCTTCCATTCCCATTCCACCAAATCCCATTTTAATTCTTCCATTATTTGGTGGTGGAACCAATAGAGTTTAACACGTGGTTTTGTGGAAGACTATGTTTAGTGTTGGCTTTAGATTGATCTTGTAAAATTTAGAGGGATCGATTTTTGGATTTAATTAGGGCTAGCAGTAGATGAAGGTAATTCAATGTTACATGTATAGGGTCTCTTCTCCAATACTTACTTTTAAGCTTTTTTAAATTAAGGATGTTTGCAATATTTCTCTAGTCCCTATGACAAGATTAAAACTCTTTCAAAGATGAGCTAGTGCACTTGTCTCATGTGGGAGGCAAGATAGCATGCTCCAGCCTTAAGTTGGAGGAAGTTCACACCTTATATGGAGTTATGAGTTGGAATTCAATCGTGATTGGACATTATTTTAGCACTGGAAGCATGTTAGTGGTAGTGTGCCCCATGACAAGTCTCGTATGTCACAAGCATAGCAGTTACCTTCAAGTCTTGCATTGGAGTCATCTAGGAGGTAAATAGCCCAAGAGCAATGTTGTGTGTTCGTGCTTATAATTTTGCTGATTTTTCATTGTGAGAGTGCACTTTTGATGTTGTTTTAGTCCCTATAGGACATGGGGTAATGTACATATATGTTCATTGATTCAAGCACTCAAGGTTAGAGAGGAGGTTGCATAGTTAATAGTTAGGTTCGTACTTTGAATTGAGTTGGGCATCTATAAGTTTAAATTGTTTACTATATTCTTTCTATAAGTGTTTAGAACTTGTGTCCATGAAATAGGATTGTATGTATGTTAAATGGAGTAGTAGTGTTGGCCAAAATATTCTGTATAAACACCTATAGTCGAATAAAACTACAAGGCTTAATCATCAAGTAGGAAATTTCATTTTACAATAGTGCATTTTGTTGCGAATGTGACTTTGGGTATCGAAAGTTACCTGTTAGTTAGTCCTTACGGACACTCTTACTTTACTACCACGATGGCAGGAGGTCGGTATTGCTGGACCCTTTATTAGTCCCTCTTGTGCTAGTGGAGTTAATTGGGCATTTCGAGTGTACTTAGACCGGACGAGCATAAGGACGGAATTTCTACGTGTTATTACTTAGCCTAGTAAGGAGTTCCCGTCTCGTTATGTCTTGCACTTGCTAGTGACAAGAACCCTTGCGTGTTGAGATTAGTCCCTCAATATCACTGGATGATAGCTTACTGTGTCTACCAAACACTCTCGCTATCATGCCCTTTGTGTTAGTCTTGTTTCGGTCCCAAATGCTATTTATGGAAAGTGTCTAGATTTGCTCATTTGGCATATCTACGGAATGTAGAGATTGATTTGAACACAATGGTGTTCGTCCCATGTCCAAATTCACAATTTAGCGCCATTCCATATTTAGTAAGGCATAGCCGACCAACCTGAGGCATAGTCTAGCTCCTGCTTGCATGCCTGTCCTTGTTCTGCGTCCGGCTTGGGTCTAAGCCTAAGATCCATTCCATGTTAGCTGGTGGAGTACCCATGTCCTTGTGTTAAGCCACCGATATGCCGAAATAACGCCAGACTCCATTTGGCTCCATTTTGCGTGCTGGTCCTGGCATTGGGATGCTGGTTGCTCTAGGATTGTTCCAAGTCGCTCCAGGCTTCTGTCCCTTTGCTCCTTGGGTTGTATGCTCGGGAGTTGCTCTGTGGTCCGATTTCGTCACTCCTTGGCTCCATGCTTGGGAGTTTGGCACCGTTCCTTCGTTCAGTGGCCCAAGGCCCTGAACCTTGGGTTCCACACCACATTCCTTTGGACACATGGCATCTGTCACGTGGCACAAAGAGGGTTTAGGTTCCGCTTCGTGGTGTTATCCTATGGTAAATCACCATAGGATAAAGGGTCAAAACCATGTGCACTACATTTGGTATCAGAGGATGAGTCTTGATGAGTACTATCCAATGAGATTGGGCAACTAGTCTCGTTGCATACGCAGAGATGAAAACGATGATCCAAGTGGGTACACGTTTGGGTGCAAAGACTTCGCAATTGTTCCTTGGGTATGGATTTGGTAACC